GGAGCAGCCTCTCTGGGCCTGACTGGATCCATTGTGTTGACACGGGCGGGTGAAACCCTTTTTATTGGTTCTGGTTTTATCAGCCAAACTTTAGCTGAACTTTGGACTTGTTGGGCGAGGAGGCAGCCTCCAAGTGCAACCGCGCCGGGGGGTTTGGAGGCCGCGAGGAGGCATTTCGGTACAGTCCCGCCAAACAAACCCCCAAGCCTTTTCCAACCACCCCTAGCCGCTCCGCTGAGCTAGTTACCTGCCCCAGGAAAGGTGAGAAGGAGGGAGAGGCGGGGGGCGGGGAGCGGGCCGGCCAGCCAGGTGGTTGGAACCCCCAGCTGAAAGGGGGAGCCTGAAAACTCAATAAAAATCCTGGGGGGCAAGTGGCGTGTTGGCTGTTCATTGTCAGGGGGGTTGGGTGGACGAGAGACGGGAGCGCGATGAACAGAAGCCTCGGAGCGTTTACATGAGCGAGGAAAAGCGCAGGCAAGCCGGAGCAGAACTTCCCCTGCGAACCTGCTTTACTGGGGCCCTTGGAAGAGGTATTAAACGCAGTCGTTAGAAATATTTTTAAAGCCTCGGGAATAGCGGGGGGAACCGAAGGCGACTCGTTTATAGTATTGGACCTGGGCTTCCCCGCCGCGGAGTTTAGTCGTTTGCGGGGTTATGGGGATGGCGGTAGGGAAGAAAAAACACAACATTAGTCCCGTGGGGGCTATGTAAAGAGCAGACTTTTTGTTGGCGGTTTGTGTGTTTCTAAAGCAAAGAAATCCGTTTGTCAAAAGGCGCAAGCGGCTAAGATCGCCGAGGACTTTTCTTATTGGGGTGGGGTTTTTTTGTTGTTGTCTTTTTGGTTTTTTTTTTCTTTTTTGCGTCTGCAAAAGAATTTGTTTTGAAACACAGGAATAAACCTTTTAAAAGCATGGTTGATTGTGTGAGAATTAAATTGTGCGAGAATTAAACAAACGAACACAACTAAGGGGTCCATTAGATTTTTTTTAAATAAATTAACTTTCTCCAGATACATTTGAAATAAGCTATTTTAACCCGTGTTTTCTCCCCTGTCAACCCCAGAAATATTTTGACTCAGAAATATGGGTCAATACAACAGGGTTCCTTGCCCTCGGCATTAACCAAATGCTGTTTTAAAATCAAACCCAACGCTTCGATCTATTCTTTTTAAACGTATTACACGTGAAACGAGTTAAGATGTCTCGTTTCACGCCAGTTCGGGGGGTGGGGTGGAAAACCCCGTTTAGTTTAGTCTCCTGGCCTCGGGGAAGAGATTTTCACTTTTCTTCACCTCGCTGGGTCCCTCCAGACTTTGGAAAACGTTACTCGATTTTGGAAATTCGATTAAATCGATTTTGCGAAAGGATTCAATGCTACGAACGACATGAAACAATGCAACGGGGGGAGGGTGTGGAAAAGTAATTCAGAGGGGGAATTTGGTTCTTTCTGGACTCCCGGAAGCAAACGAGCTCTCAAAAAATGTTCCAGCCTCGGCGAGGGAAAAAGAATTAGAGAAGTTTTAAGCCCACAAACTGTCGGTACAAATACAACTGACCTGGGTACAGCGAAGTGCGATCGTTAAGCAGGTAAAAGGGGAGACGCTGGCGGAGTTAAAGCTTCTCTTTCCAGGGGCTTTTGGAGAGACACAGGTTTAGGGCACTAAATTAGGAACCCGTCAGGTCCCAGGGGCGCGTTCTGAGTGGAAACAGCTGCGTTTACACACACACACCAGTTTGCTGCCTGCTCCCGAAGTAGGGAGTTAACCAAGCTCCAAGCAAGTTCAAAAAGTTTGTTACAACACCACCCCCGCGTAGGAGCTCTCATGTCTCCCCAGTGGGGTCTGGCAGGTCCTGGCCCACGTTTTATGCGCCCTCGATTTCTTCTGATCTGGTTAGGAAATACGCAACCGGGCCGAATAAATGAATAAAACGCGCCTGTTTTTCTCCAGCGCTCCAGACTCATTTACACCTAATCGGGGTTCGCCCGCGTTCCCTTATCTAGCTCTGCACCCCTGGGCCCTTCTGCAGCGTTTTCGACCTTGTTTGCTGCTGAATTCAAAGGCTCCATCGTTCTACGACAGAAATCCAGAGATTCCTCGTCCCTAACTCTCCATTAAACTCGGGCCCTTTTTCAGATGGCCCGTTGCTCTGTGTTGGTTGAACGTGGGGGGCATGATCTAGGTCTTGCCGCCTGCCTGGTAGCTTAGGGCAAAGGAGTCTTAAAAGGAGAAACAACCCCGCACTGTTTGCCCTGAAGAAATTAGATCTCAATAAACAAGTTTTGAAACAGAGCGCTAAATGGTTTGGCTCCTGGTTCTTTCCTTGTTCTCTGAGGGGTAGCTACGCAAAACCAGGAAGCAGGGTGTGTTTGGAGTGAGGTATCCCGTCACTGCAGGGGCAAACGGCTCTAAAAAACCCCAACACACAACAAAACGAAGCCAGGCGCCTTAAAACATCATCCCTTAAAACCGAATTCTGCTGCCACAGAGCTAACTCTTTGTGTCCAATTCCTTGTGTGGCCTGGCTTTCCCAATTTTTTATTTTGTTTTATTATTTTTTTTACCAAAGGAGGAATGGTATTGTTTCACTGGCAATCCCTCCCCCGTTTCTGAATGTGAAGGCTCTAAACTCTTATTTTTCCCTCTCCTGTACCAGAGCCAGATAAGTCCAAGAGAATCACAACTCCTCAGTGGGGTTTTAATTGGGCTGTAAAAATTCCAGCCAGAATTCCGTCCACTGTTCCCTCTTTTTTTTTCCATCTAGGTGCAGAATAATTTTTGCCTGGTGCACCAAAGCACGTGCTGGTGTGCACTACCAGTGGAAACACATGCTGTGTGCAGTGGGGCTTTGCTAATCAGCTGGGCAGCACCAGAATCTCTCCTGGATGGCCACCCAAGTGCTCAGCTTACAGGGAACACTGATTCCTTCCCTTTTGTCTGTTGCACGGGGGAGCTGGTCTTAGGGGGGTTTGTGTCTCTGGAATTTCCACACCACTTTATCTCACCGCTGGGGTCCTGTGGCAGAAGTATGTGGGGTCCTGGGGTAGAGATATTTCAGTTTCACATGAAATCATCTCTGTCCCTGCGGAGGTGGGGGAATCTATTTTCCTCCCCTTTTGCTCTCCCAGTAAAAGTCAGGAGCAGTGTTAGAGAAAAATAGAAAACCCAGGCTATTCCTGAACCAAGTAGCATGAGGTCATTGGGAACAGACATGGGTTTTACAAGCCAAGTCTCAGAGCTTGTTCCACCATTGGATTTTTGGTTCAAAATCTTGCTTAAAGGACAGAAAGTGGAAGCAGATAACAAGTGACACCCCAGTGCAGGGACCCTGTGTACCTATGGAGGTGGCAGGAATTCTTACAGCTACAGAACACTGACTCTTCCTGCCCGAATTTTCAGAATGGCTCAGCTGTCACAACTGGAGCCAGATTTTCATAACAACTCAGCCCCTGTTTAGGCCCCAGAGTAAGGAGGCAGATTTGCCTTTGGGCCTTAGCACAACGGGTGCCCTTTGGTGCTGAGTTCTTTTGAAAATGGAACAGCTGGGGGCTGAGCTCTTTGGAAAAATCTGGCCCCAGATGTGAGTACTAAGTCCTTCTGAAAATACTGGCCCTCAATAACTTGGGGGAGGAGGATGCTCCAGTCTTGAAAACAGACCACTTAAGAAAGGGTCCAGTGATATTTACCGGCACACTCTTTTTCACCCAACAAGGAAGTCAAGGAGCTAAAAACCAATCAACCAAAAAAAACCCAACAACCTCCTTTCCCCAAAAAACCCAGCACAAATAAATAAATAAATAAATAAAATACAAAATCAGGGTAATTTAAAACAATAAAGACAAAAGAGACAGAGGCACACATCCCAGTCAGAATGAAGAGAAGCCTGGCCTACACCCAGGCAAGGCCAACGTTGCTGCATAAAGCTCTGACCAAAGTTTTCAATCAGAACATGACCCCAAAAAATTAGGTGCCTCAGTATTGTTCCCCCCTAACTTAAGACGCTTTAAAGAGGAGTATAGTTCAATAAACAAAAGGCCAAAGGTCAGATCTGTAAAGGTATTAAGGCACTCAAAGATACAGATAGGAACCTGGTGCATCCAGACTGCTATCTGAATTGTCCGACCAATTTTTTTTAAACGGAATTACTAGTTTGGGTGATCAAGGTCATTGTGAATGTTATATCCTTACAGACTTCAGGAAGGCATTTGACTTGGTACCACACAATAGTCTGATTAAAAAACTAGAACTATATAAAAATCGACATGGCACAGATTAAATGGATGAAAAACTGACGGGTCTCAAATTGTAATTGAACATAAAAACGGTCATACTGGGTCAGACCAAAGGTCTATCTAGCACCAGTATCCTGTCTGCCGACAGTGGCCAATGCCAGATGCCCCCAGAGGAAGTGAACCGAACAGGGAAGCATCATGTGATCCCTCTCCTATCATCCATTTCCAGCCTCTAAGAAATGAAGACCATTCCTATGCATCCTGGCTAATAGATGGACCTAACCGCCATGGATTTTTGAACCCTTTAGCTCTTTTTTGAACCCTGTTAAAGTCCTGGCCTTCACAACCTCCTCTGGCAAGGAGTTTCACAGCTCGACTGCACACTGTGTGAAGAAAAACTTCCTTTTGTTTGTTTTGAACCTGCTGCCTATTACTTTCATTTGGTGACTCCTGGTTCTTACATTGTGGGAACAAGTAAATAACGTTTCCTTATTTA